GAAATTGATGATGACAACCCATGCATTGTGGCTCAACAAACTAGTTAATGTGATGGAAAAATTAAACCTTGCTCTCAACAATTTGGAAAATGTGAGCACTATATAGTACATATTATGAACTATCACGTTGTATATATTATACACATCGATGTGAGCATAGATGATCAACTTGTGTAAGTGAAGAACCTATCAATCTTTTCATGAACGTCAAAATAAATGTGCAAAATGAGCTAGCTAGAGATGCTTGCATGATGAACTTGTGGGGAGGTGCTTGAAGTTAGTGAGGAGGCGCACATCACCTAATTTTTGCCCCCGTACTATTTAGTAGTTCCCAGGTTTAATTGGAGGAGCTGGTAGAGTGTAGCTGGAGGAGATCCATCAATTGATGCTGGCTTTTCTCCATCATGAAAATCTTCTTAGGTGCCTGAGATGTTGTCATGTTAGTGAGTGCTTGTTGTAGAAAACGGGAGTATAGGTTGTTAGGTAGTTGCTTGAAATAAAATCGAAACCATACTAAAGTCAAAACCAAATTACATTTACAATTCTCTTGCAGAGGATGATTAATTCCCAAGATAAATTGTAGTAGCATTTCTTATAGTTAATTCGGTAGCGGATGCACTAGTTTTATATACACGTACTTGTTGTGTTTTTATTTATTTATAGAAACTGAATCTATCAGTGCATTACTTTACAGAAAGATCAAAGAAAACATAGAACAAGGGCCCAAATCACACAAGGAAAAGGAAGGGTGCCCATCCAGCCACAAACAAAAGCTAGAAATCAAACCAAGCAAAGGAGGTAAGAGAAAGATACGCTTGTTAATCATTAAATAATTTTCGATTTCGAATGGTTGTTGGGCGACCTAGAATCTTTAATTGACATTATGTTGCTTAAAATAAAATCGAAGTCTTGCTGCAAAACCAAACAAACACATTTTTTTTTCTTCGTATATACACGATATTTGTCACTAATTAGTTGCCCTAATTAATTGTAGAAATGGATCCGCTTGCTTATATGGATCACAAGAGTTTTGCCATTCGAACATGGCATTCTTCCTTTTTCTTTTCAATTTTCAACAAACTCTTTCCGGATTCAATGGTATAGTTGGATGGCCTAGATGTTTTTTCATTGATATTGGTTTTCTTGTAAAGCAAGAACAAAATCCAAAAACAAAGCCAGAGCCAAAACCAAACCCGTCTTCCTCTTACCCTTTACCACATGAACGTGAACTTTAAGAGAACAAAGCAAAGAGAGGACAGAAGTGGTGCAATTGGCAAACAAGCATTAAACATGTAGGAGTAAATATGAAAGTACACGTGCATAGCCGACTTTGGCACGTGACCAGCTTAATGAATAACTTTGGGGAGGGTCTTTTTTTTATTAATGTTAAATCAAGCGTGTGAGGATGAGCTAGAGGAAGGAGATGGATTCACGTGACATCACCCCGAAAGACGACAGATGGGAGAAGAAGTTGGTCCTGGTTGGGCTGTCAATTATCAATCCGGTTTGCAGTTGGGAAAGTAATCTTTTTCTAAATGGTGTAAATTATAAGCAGTCTAAATTTTGTAGTAATTAAGAAATTCAGAGAACAATTTTAGAATTTCCAACACAAGCAACTTGCATTTGAAGGAATAAGCAACAAAATAGAGGAAGGGAAGATTAATTTGGGACTAACTTGTCTTTGAGAAATTTTGGGATTTCATTCATAATTTAGCTAAAAAAGCCATTAGTCATAAATGACCAATACAAATTAGCCAAAAAGGGCCATTACAATAACATAGTGATCTAACATCAAAATTAAGACAATGTAGGGCTCCTCCACTAACGATCACGCATGATCGAAGAAACTATAGTATAGACATCCCAACTAGGAGAGCAAACTCAGAATAATAAAAACTAAATAAAACTTGGAAAAACTAAGTCATGACAATTCAAATAAAACTCTCACAAATGAGAGGTGAAAACTCTCCCAATTTGTTTATAATTAATGATACAATCCCACAATTTGGGTTATCACCAGTGAATTCTTGCTAGTATTTGAGGCCATATAAAAACTTCACGGTATACTATATAAAGTCAGTGGATGCTCGTACTTGATTGGATATTCATGAGCTTTTACAAGAAAAGAAAAATCAGGGAAATAACTTTTTTAGTGAAAATGATAAGGAATGATAAAATATTAATTTTGGAGGATTACTCTTACTGTCTCACATAAATGATATATTGTTGTAGTACATGCATAAACAACAACATTGATATTCAAAAACTATGTTCTTCTTCTTCTTTTATTTTTTTCCAAAATGAAGAAGGTAGGATGTACTTCTTACTTCAATTCATGGCATTAGAGGATAATGTCTTTGTATTTACATGAGAGGACTTAGACGGAGCATATGGGGCATGTTTATGACTGTTTCTAAAAGGAGGTAACGATTTATAACAATAAAAAGAGCTTTTTGCAGTGTTTGCCCGGAAAGTGTTTATGGATCATAAAACACTTTTTATAACCGGTTTACTTATTAGTAATGGGTATCAGAATTATTCCACTACAAAAAAAAAGTAAGTCACCCAAAAAAGGCATTTTTAGTGACTAAGCATTAGTCACCAAATAATTAATGGTTGCCACCCCCCCCCTTTTTTTTTTTTTTTTTTTTTTTTTTTTTTTTTTTTTTTTTCGATTCATTATTCTCATGTGTTTACTAATATATGGGTGTCAGAATGATTTCAATTAATTCCTTAATTTCTCTTGCGTTTACTTAACACATGTGGAATTAAAAATTATAGGAGTTCTATGGTTAAATTCGGAATCAAATACCCTCAAAATTAAGAATCAACTAGAAGAACTAGTTGATATGATTCCAATACCTTATTACCAAATTCTAAAGTTCCCCAATTAAATACTTGAAGAAACACTTTCAAAAGTATATTGATAAAATGATACCTGTGGTGCTATATGTGCATGCTACAATATATACACTATTACATTTATTCTTATTGTAATTTTATTTATTGTGAAAGCATAAGTAATAGGAAAATATTCTCTAACTAGACGATTCAAGTTGTGCTATCAAACTATCCATCTAAATATATAATTACAAGTAATTAATCTAGATAGTCAATTTGATCAGTCTAATGTGTCAAACTGCTTGAATTTCATTTTTGGAATAAAAATTTAATTACCTATATTGAAAAAGAAAAAGAAAAATTAGGAGGCTGTGTCATTAGCTTTTGGGCCTCTGGGGCACAAGTGTACTTATCACCTTTAGCATGAAGTGATTAATCAGATGCATGGGAAAGCATTGGGAACAGAACTCCCGGGTTAAAGGAAACAAAGATATTGGATTTGGTATTTGGTATTTAAATAATAAGGATTTGGTCAGTGAAACAAAGAAAGAAAGAAAGAAAAAAAAACTATTAGCCGATCGAAAATAAACACGTTTTTGGATGGCAACATCAGACGAAAAGCATCCTCACATGCCAAATTCAAAGCGCATGCTTTGCTAAGTTGCTATTTGCAGCAGCAACAACATGCAAACATCTTCAGAATGACCCTAAAACATCTCTCTCCATCAAACAGTTTTATTTTATGTCATTGAATACATGCCTAAACAAGGACACCGCATACGACAACCATCAAATATTCTATTCTATGGGGTCGTTCGTTTCTTGAACCTGCAAATTTAAAAATAAAAAAATTGCTCGGCAAATGCTTTTTGGTGAGGGAAAAGAAAGAAAGAGTGAATGGAGCTTGCATGGTGTATTGATCTAGGGTATGAATGGACGTTTTTAGAAACAGTAACTTCGGTATCTTGTAAATTAACAGTCTAACAACATAACATATACGAGACACAAAAAAGGATAAAGCAGAAAGAGTGAATGGAATTTGCCATCTTGACATTGCCAATCCCACAAAGCAGTTAAGTGTGATTTTCAGACCCAAATTACCCAACTTCCCTTGAGCCCAACCTTTGGCACGTGCGAGCCACCCTTTGCGTGTACGCTTTCGCCATTTAATGAATCGTTCTTCCTCTTGGGCTTCTTGTATCCCATCTATCTCTTCGCCTATCTATTTTACTATGGTTGGATTATTAATATGCATTGGGCTATCTCCCAAATGACCAAAATGCTCCTACCAACTCAACATTTTTTGCCTACGCAACATAATGATTGGCATGGGTATCATGGTCATTTGGACATATCAGAGGATGGTGGTAGTTTGGATCATTGAGATGACTTTGTACTCACCTTATCTTTATTTTATTCCGCAGTTTGCGTTGGTTTCCAAAAGAACTCCCCATCAAATGACCATAGTAGCCGACATTCAAAAAGGGCATTTTGGTAAATTCACTAACACTCAAGTCAAGACTAACCGAGACAACTGCACTTTAAAATGCACCTTCACTTCACACGCATCCTATACACGCATGACTTTATCCTTTTTAATGGACGAAAATACCCTCAATCTTTGCTCTCTAGGTGAGGGCATTGGGGTCATTTGGGACAAAAGTTTAATAAATTAAGCTCCTTCCCTTTTTCCAAATTTGTTTGATATGTAATAATATTCATTTTTAAAATTTAAAAAGTTTTGGCGAATAGAAGCATTTAATTAAATATATAAAAAATAATGGTGTGGAAAAGAGGAGAAGAAGAATGGCAAAAGCGACCGCTTCTCTTTCTCTCTCTTTCTTTCTTTTTCTTTCTCTCTCTTGAAAGCTTATAGCTGCTGCGTTTGTTTGTTTGGTTTGAGAGAGATATTAGTGAGTGCCCAAAAACCCAAAAGAAAGCCACCATTTTTATTTTATATTAGTAAACTTGTTTCGTTTGCAGAAGGGTGAAGGTGATTGCAAAAACACTCACTGCAAAGAGCAAAAAAAGAGAAAGAAAAGGAGAGAAAGAGAAAGACAGAGACGACAGACAGAGGGACAACACAGAGTGAGTGAGAGAAAGAGAGAGAGAAAGAAAGGAATTCAAGAAGCTTTCAATACCACAGAAGAGGGAAAACGATGTCTGAGAGCTTTACATCCTTTCATACTCTGCAACTCCAAGAGGTATATATATATATATTTATATTAATATATATATATATATATAGTAGATGATGATGATGAACAAAGCTGAAAATGATAAAAGTATAGATGAAAAGAGAACACAAAAATTAAAAAAGCACACCACCAACAGAGTCTCCTAGTATACTAGACTATAGCTAGCTACCCATTTCATCATTCTCTCTCTCTCTCTCTCTCGTCTCTCACTTTCTCTCTCTTTCTCTCTCTATTTTGTTTTTATTAATTCTTCTCTTATTGCTATAACTAATCAGCTTGATGGATGAGAGTACTCAAGGTACTCTCCATGATGGGTATTGTTTGTTTTTTGCTTGTCTCTGATCGATCCATGCTGAATTGAACAGTAATTGGTGTGGAAGAGAAGGAAGCGGGTTCAAAGGCAACACAAGGTGAAGGAGAGATATGATGAGGAAGAAGATCAAGAGCAGCTTGATGATATGGGCATAGCAACCGTACCGCCACTTCTTCCAACACCACCATCAATCTTCTCAAGCTCATCATCAAAAGGTCATCACCACCACTCAATTATTGATTCAGAAAGCTACTCCAATTCTCCTAATTCTATGTCCCAAGACTATCACCACCAAGGCATCTTCACCTTCTCCAATGGCTTCGAGAGATCGGCTATGACAACCCACCAAGAGCAGCAACAGCAGCAGCAACACCACTTGGCCCAACAGATCCGGAGAGAAAAGCTGAGGGTGCAAGGCTTCGAAACCCCGCCCCCTCCACCATTGGTTGGCCTAGACGAAGAAGAATCCGGAGGCCTTCCGGTGTATGAAACCGCGGGCATGTTGTCCGAGATGTTCAATTACCCCCCAGGTGGCGGCCCTGCTGGAGCCGCCGAACTGCTGGAGCATCCGATGGCTCAGGCCTATCGGATGGCTCGGCAGCAGCAGGAGCCTGTGTCTGGTGCGGCCGAGTGGTACGGAAGCAGAGTGGTGGGGGGTGGATTGGGAGCATTGGGAGATTCAAAAAATCACAATAGCCGCGACAGTATTCAGCATCATCATCAACAGCAGCATCAGATTTCAACAATTAATGCGGACTCAGCAGCAGCCATGCAGCTTTTTCTTATGAACCCATCACAACCAAGATCGCCTTCTCCTCCAGCTCACACAACTTCTTCCACCCTCCACATGTTGCTTCCAAACCCATCATCCACTACCAACTCACTCCAAGGCTTTGCTACTCCATCTGGAGGAGGAGGGGCTTTTGGTCAATTCACATGGGTTCCTGAGAGTCATCATGGACATGATGGAGGCAATCCCACCGGCGGTGCCGGTGAAATTGGAGGGGTTGTGGAAGGCCAAGGCCTTTCATTATCTCTATCAACTTCATTGCAGCACTTGGAGGCAGCCAAAGCTGAGGAATTCAGGATGGGATCAGATAGTGCAGGTGGGTTACTATATTACAACAATCAAGGAGATCATCAAGGCTCAACCAATCAGTACAAGAATTTAGGAGCTCATCATCATCATCAACATCATCAAAGCCAGCAGCAGCAACAGCAGGCATTGCACAGTTTGCAGCAAGGAGGGGTTGTGGGAGGACATGTTGGGTTTGGGTCATCATCAGGATCAGCCTCATCATTTGGAGTTGTGAATGTGTTGAGGAATTCCAAGTATGTGAAGGCAGCCCAAGAACTGTTGGAAGAGTTTTGCAGTGTAGGGAGGGGTCAGCTCAAGAAGAACAAGTTTGGTGGGACTGGTGGTAGGCATAACTCCACAAACCCTAGTTCCAATCCAGCTGGCAGTGGTGGTGGTGGTGGTGCCTCTTCATCTTCATCAAAGGATGTGCCTCCTTTGTCAGCCGCTGATAGGATTGAACACCAAAGAAGGAAGGTCAAACTATTGTCCATGCTTGATGAGGCATGTAATCTCTCTCTCTCTCTCTCTCTCTCTCTCTCTCCCTCCTTCAAGGTCAAAGGCCTATGTTCTTTTGCTTCTTTATTAGAGACCCCATTATTTTTATCTCCCAAGTCACCGGGACAAACACAGAAAATTCCGGCCACTCACAATGATATTTAATTTTTTTTATTTTCCAGAATTTTAAAACATAGGAAGGTAAAACAGGGAAAGAGCCGGCTGGTGTAATAGGGTTTTCCGTTTCATATAGGATCGAACTGGTAGCTAGCTATCCTTTGATTTAAACACTAATTTATTAAAAATGATATTTTATTTCATTGATTGGGTTGCGATCGAATGGTGGTGGTGGTGGTGGAGTGTTAAGTTTATAGTGCATTTTGGTTTTCATGTTTAAGGTCGGGAAAAACGTGAAAAAGCTACCATTATGTGCCCAAAAATAAGCAATCGGGCCGAGTGTGACCACAGCAATCAATCAATCATTCAATCATACATTTTTATAATTAGCTTCACATATTATGTTCAGGGAAGCCATTGATATTATATCCTAGTTGACCTCTGGCCTGTATTCTTTTTTTCCTTTCCATTTTCTCTCCCTCTTTTTGTTTTTTGTTTATGCACACAAGCTTTTGGCTGTATTGGGTTAGAATATATACACACACACATATATATATATATATATGTATATAAATAGAGATAACAATCATTTCACTGTACCACACCCCTTTGATTTATGCATTTATTCTGTTTCCTTTTAATATCAACACAACCCTTCTCAAGTTTTTTCGAGGCTTTTAATATTCTGAAAGAAGAAGACTCTCTCTCTCTCTCTCTTTCTCTCTCTGTACTGGTTTTTCTTTCTCCTACCTTACGAGTCATACGACTGTAGCACTCATATTTCTTATGTTTTAATTTTCTCTTACTCAACCTTTCTTGTTTTAGTCACCTTCTGAATCTGATCGTTTTCTTTTGTTACACTTGTAACTACCTTCTCTAATCCAACATGATCTAGACTTCTTATCTGCTTCTAAGGTTGCTTTAGTTGTCAACATGTTGCCTTCTTTAGTCACAACTCCTTTTTTGGTAGTCGAGAGGAGGAAGAGTAATTAATTAACCATTAAAATTAATCCTCAGATTATGTCACACGCCATACACAATTTAATCATTTCTTTGGGTTTCTCTTATTTATTTCAGCCATCAAAATCACATTAACGTTACTTTACCACTAAATTTTTAATTATTAAGAGAACGTGACTAGCTATAGTAACACTAGATTTAAACATGTGGAGCTAAACTTAAACATTGCATTTAATATATGTGCATGGTTGCAGGTGGACCGTAGGTACAACCACTACTGTGAGCAAATGCAAATGGTGGTGAACGCATTCGATCTGGTGATGGGTTTCGGGGCGGCGGTGCCGTACACAGCCCTAGCGCAGAAGGCCATGTCACGGCATTTCCGGTGCCTAAAGGATGCGATAACGGCACAGTTGAAGCACAGCTGTGAGTTACTGGGAGAAAAAGATGGTGCGGGGACCTCAGGAATAACAAAAGGAGAAACGCCAAGGTTGAAGATGCTAGAGCAAAGCCTAAGGCAGCAAAGAGCATTTCATCAAATGGGCATGATGGAACAAGAAGCTTGGAGGCCCCAACGAGGCTTGCCCGAACGCTCTGTCAACATCTTGAGGGCCTGGCTTTTTGAGCATTTTCTTCACCCGTGCGTTGCCTTTTACTACTCTCTTTTAGCTTCATTTCCTTTCATCAATATATAATTATGAAAATGACTTTTAACTTGCTAATTAGGAAAGTTTCTTTACGTATATACGAAATGTTCTCTTTCTAGACTGTCTGAGGCACAACATAAAACTCTATGCGACAATATAAGTGTAGCAAGAAAGCATAACTTTGTGATTTATAAGTCTAAATAATGTTAGTCTATCATGCATGATAGCTAAGTAGCCATGCACTTTATTACTTACTTGACGTATACTGTATACACTAGTCCCTTACGATTACTGCTTAAAAGGGGTCGTAATATGCAGTGTTCTTGGGATGTTGTGTGGTCAGCCAATAGCTGTGGAAAAAGAATGCATTAATTAATTAAAGCATGATATCTCTTTTCTCTCTCTCTCTTTGAAAACACATTTTCTTGTATCAAGCCGAGAGAGAGAGAGAGAGAGAGAGAGAGAGAGAGAGAGTTGTACAGTCCTAGTCTGGCAGCTCTGATAGGTAGTGATCGATCGGGATTGATATTATTTATATCTTCTCTTTGATTCTCACGCTCATGCAGAGAGCAAAAGGAGAAAGTTTCTCGAACCTATGTAGGCTTAGGGGTACAGAAAGCTTAGACGTATGTCTTTATACGGTTCAGGCGAGGACTCTGATGTCATTTTCTCTTCTGGTCTCTTTCTCAGGTACCCAAGCGATGCTGATAAGCATCTGTTGGCACGACAGACTGGTCTATCGAGAAATCAGGTAATTAGGTTGCATGCATAGATTGTTTCTCTCTCTCTCTCTCTCTCTCTCTCATTATATTACATGTTTTTGGCTATATGCATATGTGCATTAATTTAAAAGGCTATATGTACATATAGACTGTTCTGTTGTGTTAATGAAAAAGAAAGAAGTTATGGGTAGAAAGGCTAGATGGGAGGGAAGGGACCAGCAGTAGGTTCAGAAGAACTTACATGGGCTTGGATTTTATTTCTCTGGGTTTATAAACTTTTCTGCTGAAGAAAGACAATGTGTTTTCTCTGCTCCTTTTTTTCTTCTTTTACTTTGGATTTTTTAACTCCTTGACATAAATTCCGATAACAGTGAATAGCAACCCCACACACAAAATAAAAGACCTGTGCCATGCCAAGTACATAGCAGATGAGACATGATAGTTTGCAGCTTTGCTCTCTCTCTCTCTCTCTCTCTCTCTCTCTCTCATATCAAATGACACCTTCCTTCCTACCACACCATACAGTCAATAAGAGCCATGAGTTGAAGACATCATAAATTTTCTGTACTTCAAGTCATATCAAAAGCTATTCATATTATTAATTAATTATTATCATCCTTGTCAAAATGTCTTTACATGGTCTTCCAACTTATGTCATTAAACATGTAACCTTTGAGTTATGTTACTATCGTGTCGTTTGCATTGATTTTTGTTTTGTCAGCATACATTTCATTGTTTGCATGAGAAGTCAAAAATTAATTATTTATCTCCCTTCTATTATATATTTTATGTGCCATAAAATTTCATGGACAATGTTCTCTTGTCAAACTGTTCTACACAAATTATATGTTGACAATTATTACGAAAATGCATATATATAATATTATTATATTTAATGACTTGGGTAGACCATGTTATTATTGTTCTGAAATCGAGAGATCAATTGCATTTATGACGTTGATATCCCTATGTGATTTTTTTGATTTTGATTTTGAATGCTGCAGGTCTCAAATTGGTTCATAAATGCTAGGGTTCGATTGTGGAAACCCATGGTGGAAGAGATGTACCAGCAAGAAACCAATGAAGAAGTTGGGGGTGCAGCAGCAGCAGCAGCTGATCATCATCATCAAGATCAGAGAGAACGTAACAACCAAAACCAAAATAGTAGTGGCCTCAATGCACAAACTCCAACGCCTACAACGACAGCTGCCACAACAACAACGACAACGACGCCAACAACAACACCAACGACAACAAATTCGCCAACAGGCAAAAGATCCGAAATCAATGCCTCCGAAAACGACCCTTCACTCATCACAATCAATAGGCAGCAGCAGCAGCTGCAGCACCACTTGCAACAGCCCATGATGGCCACCACCACCGCAAGCGCGGTGGCGCTGCCTGCATCGCAATGTTTCGCCACCACATCAACCACTGCAAATGATAGGCTGGCTTCCGAGGACACATGTCGCCGAGGCAGCATGGTGGCAGCGGATTACGGGACCACCTCGGGTAATGCACATATTGCAGCTCATGATCATCAAAGTAGTAGTAATATTGGGTCTTCTACTACGCTTATAAGCTTTGGGACCACCACGGCAGCTGGTGACGTGTCACTCACTCTAGGGCTTCGCCATGCTGGTGGTGGAAACAATATGCCCGAGAAGAATCCTTCTTCTTTCTCCATTAGAGACTTCGGGGGCTGTTAATTAGCCTCTTAATTAATTAATTAATTAATCAAACTTCTATAGTAGTTATTACAAACAAAAACAAAAAAAAAAACATTTTAAATTAGTTTCTTTATCCTTTTTTCTTTTCGTTACTTATATATATATATATATATATATCCTTCCATTCTATGAAGAAAGATACATGGTGAGACAAAAGTAGCATTAAGTTAGCTAGTTGTATGGGGGGTTCTGTTGTAATTGTATAGTAGATGGTTCTTTTTTTTTTGTTGTTGGAATTTTTGTATTTTCAAGTTCTATGTGCTTTAATTAGGTCTTATACCTTAATCGGAGGCATTTACTAGAATAATATATCATGAAATTCATGTTTTGAGAGAGGAGGGGAGACTGTTTTGCACTTATATTCATCTTAATTGGGTAATGAGGGAGACTTATTATATGTGATCCTATATGTTATTATTTCAAACAATATTAATGAGAAAGCCCTACTCTCTCTCTCTCTCTCTCTCTCTCTCTCTCTCTCTCTCTCCATGAATCCATGATTGAGTATTGAAAGAGGGAAAACTATATATTTGTGATTGATTTATAAATGTTATGCTTAGCTAAAAATAGAAATGCTGTTATTAAATCACATGGTAGAAACTGTACATGCATGTCAATATATATTGTCACCTTGACAAGGTGTGAAGTTGAAGCACTTGAGGACGCTTTCCTTGATTGATTTCCCTTTTAGAGGGATTTCTTGCCTAGAATATGTCTTGTGCTTTTCCTTTATCTAGCTAGTTCTCCTTCTCAGCATAGACATAGAGATATTATTGACGCTTGAATTGGTCTATATGATTGGAAAGAAAGTGAACATTAAGTTTCTGAACATATTGTGTCATGCAATATAATGGTGGGAGGTGTTGAATTTCTATTTTCAGAGTAGATTGGCTACGGGTTTGGTCGATGAAGGATTGTGTAATCTTGTTTGTAAACATCGACATTACAACGTATTCAAGATAGATTTTATAGGATCATCATTGTCTATCTTAATTGTTATTATCTTAATCATGTTTTAGCAAGATAGATTTTATAGGATCATCATTGTCGATGTTACAATATCAATTGGAGTATCGACATATTCACGACCATCTATCGACACTCTACCATATGATACCGAACTATCTTTTACCAAACAATATGTTCCGTAAGTAGAATAGCAATGGAAGTAAACATTTTATAACGCACACATGAATTAATACATGTAGAGAAACAAGATAATCTTTCAACTAAACATTGAAAATCAATGTTGTATATGGCGTACAAAGAGCTCGATTTGTTTGTTGGTTCAGAAGATTTTCAAAACCTAATATGGTCATCCTAAGATATGTAGAATATGGTAAGTGTTCAATGATGCTTTGGTTTTGTTTATGAAGAATGGTTTAGAGTAGGAAATTAGTTTGCAACCCACAACCTAGCTTACAAAGCTAGCAAATTGTCTTCTTTGGTGGCGGATAGTGCAACATTGTCTTATATTGCAGCAGCTTGTCAATATTTTTGTCTCGAAATGGTGCTCGTAGATGTGATAGATTGGTAGGTTGTGTTATTTACCTTATAACAAGCACCAGAAAACGGTTGCTTAAGTCCCAAACAAGATTTTGCAAAGCAACAAGTACTTTCCACCTAATGTGTTGCTTTTTCTTTGAGAAAACAAAACTGATACGTCCTGCAGTTGGATTTCCTAAGTTGTTGTGCTGCAACGATCAAGTGTCCAATCTAGTGAAGGTAATTATATGACTTTACGTGAGAAAGCTTCACAACAAGAATGAAATTTATATATATGATGCCTCCTTATCATTATATGATATGACAACAGAGGGGAAAAACCTCATATTAAGGAACTCATCAGTGTCGATGTCTTAGTAGAAGTAATTAGGAAGAGAAATGTTAACATCAGTCACAATCTCACTGTAAATTCCACCTTTGCAACAAATAAGATCACTTCTTCACCTTAATTTACTAGCAAGATTATTAGTTCTCTAAATCAACCACATCACTATATATATATATATATATATATATATATATATTATGAACTGTGTCTTGTATGTATACCTTCACATTAACTCAAGCAGTGATTCTAGTACCTGAAGGGTGACTAATCCTATGAGAGGTCTGAAATCTAAACTTAGGAATCGGGTCTTAATTAATAATAAAACTATGAAAAAGTCTGATGAATATTCTGGATGAAAGTCTATTCATAAAATTTAAAAGTTTTTTATTTTTATTTTTACTTCGTTGAATGCACGCATGAGCATAAACATAAAGGGTTGCTTTCTGGTAGGGGTCCTCATCGCCTGTGAGTCTATGACATTGTTCATGAACACCTGGACCGACAGCAGAGAGAGAAAGAGAGAGAGAGAGGGATAAGCTTAAGGGCCTACCACTTCAACTATACTAGCACTCATTAATTAATAGGGTTTGCATCAACTTCAGAATTGTTTCTTTGTCTTGTTTGGTCGCATAAATTACAATTTGAATGTGAAACAAACAGCCGAAACTTCTATACAGGCTCTTAATTTCTTTTTCTTCTTTTCTCAATTAATTAAAGGCCCCATTTTCGCTTCCACATATGAGTACAGCTGCAAATACTGCAGTTTGCAGGACATCAATGGGTGGACCTAACCCTCTAGCATATAGAGAGGTGCCCCCCTCCCCCCCCTTGGATATTAATGCCACCAACCAAAAACTAGGATGTGATTAGTGCCTTCTGATTGGGAAATAGAGAAATGGGACACATGATTAAGTTTGATTTGCTTTGTATGTTTAGGTTGTGAGACGGTAAATTTGGACCATACATGAGATTTTAATCGGTTAACAACATAAATATGCTAAGAGAACGTTATTATGAAGCAAACCGATTTTGGGAAAGATTTAATGATGGCGACTTGAAATTTTATGCTACCCAGCCCACATGGGATGGTATATATGGAAAGACCATGAAAAATATTTGGTAGCTTTTTTTTTTGGGACGGAAAATATTTGGTAGCTTGAGTGAGCTTTTGATTTAATGTGATAAACCATTTATGATATTAAGCAGGAGGAGGGCTGCAACTTTCATGGCTACAGACATTATGGTTGTGGATGGGTGTTGGTTTTAAATGTGAATGATATGGTGGCCTGGAAGGCCCTCACCTCCACCACACGGTCCGGTACAGATGATACGAAAATCACAGGAGAACATTCAATCCTGATCCACCAGTGTTTTGGACCACTGCATGCCATTGTTATGGTGCAATAATGGCCTTTTTCTTATGTGGTTACAACTAGAAGATAAGGAAACGAATCTAATTTCTTCTTCCAGCTTGAATCCAGATGGCAAAAGAACTCGTTTGAATTCGAGTAATTTTTCAGTGTGAACGTTTAGCTCGCAATAATTTCTCCAAGCTGTTAATTGAGGACTTGGCTCTAATCAAAAAGTTTAGCTTAAACTTAAAATTGAGTTTTTTGTTTTGTTTTTTCTCCTTTTGTTACACTAGATAAAACCACATCCATGCTAATGAGAAAAGTTAAATACCTATCCACAAATGTAATAACTACTGTTCAAAATCATACTATGATTCAAAATCTTCACATTGTTACCTTCATTTGAAAAAGCGCTTATAAGACCCCATTTGTAAGTCATCAAAGAGGCCTTGGTATGCCCTATTCATGGGATGGGGTACCATAGATCCCAAACCTCTACATTTAGAGATGATTCATTTACCCGCATTTTATTATATCAAAACCATTCTAATAATCTAACGTCTTAAAACATGACACGTCATTAAACTTGGTGTTATTGTCTTTTTCCCAAAACTCATGCACGTTAATGCCAGTTTGAGCATGTTTCTTTCTCTCTTTCCCCTTGAAATTTTGTGCTTCAGTGCTGCCCTGATATGGGATCTTCAATTTTGAATGGTTTTGGGTAACTGCCTCGCTATATGGGGCCTTCAATTTTTAATGGTTGTGGTTCGCACCCTCCTATATGCAGAGATTCGATTATCATTGTATTTTGTTCATAGAATCATAACCACTTATATATGGATATTACATATACCAATTTGACAAATGTCGTTTATAATCAAGCTTGTTTTGATTAGATTAGGTTTGTCTGCTCTACCTTGGCTTATAACAACCTAATGTTTTGGAATCAATGACTTAACACCATCGGTGGCTTCACTAAAAGCCAAAGAAACAAGCATCTGGATAATTGTGAACGGTTATTCGTTGATGGTACGTATTTGCTCCTGATTGATCACAGTTTCAACACTGAAGGACAACGCTCAAAAACTGACGTTACCGGTTTAACGCATGAGCTTTGGAAAAAAACACAAACACCTCCAAGTTTAATGACGCGTCATGTTTTAAGACATTTAATTATTAGAATGGTTTGGATTTAATGAAATGCGGATAAATGCACAACTTCTAAATGCAGAGGCCAGGCCTCCCCTCCCCCTAAACTTTTTTTTCATTTAAAAAAAAGGCTTTAATCCTTTTTAATTTTTTTTTTTTTTTTTTTTTTTTTTTTTTTTTTTTTTTTTTTTTTTTTTTTTTTTTTTTTTTTTTTTTCAGCCTTGTCAGTGAAAGTTGAGGCGCTGTCTTTTCCACTTTAGTACCAACCAATTGTATGCTAGTCATACGTAGATGAGGATGAATTTAAGTCTGTAATAAGTTGATTCCATAAAGTTATAGTAACTGATGTAAACTAAGTTTGATGCTTCATGCAATTTCATGATCACTTGCAAAACAAGCACTGGAGCCCCCAAGTCCTATTGGAACTCTAGTTAAAATTTATTGCATTAGATGCAAGAATAAATTCTGGGGACAATTGAAATTCATTGCACAACAACTACTACTAAAGAAAATACAAAACATGTCCGGTTTTTATAGCTTTAGTGATGAGACCACGAACTTCACATCCATGAAAAAAAAAGTTCAGTTCTTGCTTTCTCTTGAATGTGAAAAAGAAAAAACCTAAAACATTTTAGCACTATATTGTGACTTATTTGTGACCAAGTTTGCTAGCCAAAGACTATCATAGTAGCACGCGTGATGTGGGGGCATGATCAATTACACAATTAGGGGGGGCCGAGTGAGAGCTATTCACAACCCTCAAGGGCAAACAGAACGTGCACATCCTATAACTGCATGTGCACCTGAACCATAACGACAAGAAACAATATATCTAAACCATAAACCTATGCATTAAAGCTTGACACATGCATGTAAGAACTATTTGCGTTACACCAAGCCAAAAAGTAATTCTAACTTCTAATGGCCATCCATCACCTATCATAAATTTATAATTGAGCAATTTAATGCAATCTAAATATGGAACTTTGCTCATTTTATGCAAGAGAAATTCTTGAGTCCGACCGCCGGATCATGTCACCCATACGATTACACACACAAAGTAACGAAACCCCTGATTTTGTTCTAAACCGACCCTACGCTGGTCTTATCCCTTTGAGTGTGTTGCTGTGTACGGCAGACACACAAGAACTGCTCATGCAAGCCAGATTAAGTCAGTGGACTCTTGCCCATGGGTGAAAATGGGGGAATCATTGGCATGGGCTGATATTTGGGACTAAACCAGGCCTTTATATCTAGCTCAGAATGCCAATTTGAGCTAGAGCAATCTATGGGCCTGTCCAGAATATTATAGAACACTCCCAAGCCCACTTAGAAGTTCCATACAACATCTTGGAACAAGTTGAGGTGTTACAAATCTTGGTTGAATTGAAAGTAATAGTATAGTGTTCATCGATTTGAAACCATTTAATTTTAGCAAAACTCAGTGCTGATTGGATTGTAGGAGTCGTTCTACCTTCATATTAGCCACATGAAGAGTCCATATATGACACCCTCCCTGTAGAATTTCGCTGGATTTGTAGAGTTTGAGATTCAATCCAATCCCTGTCATGTGAAATAAAGAGCATATTACATTTACCAATTTTTTACAAAACAAATAAATATCCAAGAATTAAGAAACTATCATAAAATTAAATTCAAATAAAATTAATGACATAAAAGCTGAAATGTAGAAAAGCTGAGTCGATCATACGATGTACTAAATATAATTCACCAGATTTTAAAATTATAGATAAACTAAAGCCTTCGGTGAACATTATATTATATGATCATGATGAGGGGCAAAGAGCCTTCGGCTGATCCACTCTGAAGCTAGTAGAGGCTCACATGAGGCAACAAGTTCAATCAACTCTCCTTTTCAAGAATTTCCACAAGAAACAACCAACCCACATCACATCATCAAAATACAAAAGCAGTTTCTTACATCACTTAAAAGCATGGAAATTTCTCAGAAGTTCACCAGTACTCTTTTGACTTCACAGAAATCTGTCACGTTAGCCTTAAGAAAATGAGAAATCTTTCAAGCCTCTGTTCTCCCACATACTACGGAACACAACGCTAAATTTAGATACAAACATTACTCTCACTGGTTATTGTAACTCTTTACTCTTAAGATCTACTATGATGTCATTGAGCTATCTGACTGAAGTGAACTGCCTTGCTCTTCCACATAGGGTCTAACGAAAGTTCTCCGCCACCAAACTTCAAAGGCCCTCTGAAGATTTGGGCAGCTATCACCAGCCTTCAGAAAACTGCCCAACCAAGACAGCAAAATACTTTGCTGGTCCTCTAGAGGCAGAGTGAGGATTGTCCTACCAATTCCTTCTTCCACAACCTTCCGGTCAAATGACCGGCACCCATGTTGCAGCCAATTGTAGTCATTGATCAATGGCTGTAACCAGGTTTGTAACAACAGTTGGCGGGTATCCTTAGATGGCAGCAGCTCCCCTCTACCAATGCCAACAAACAGCCTTGCCGTAATGCAGCTAACATGGTAACGAGACACAATAGGCAGCTTTGTATGCAAGGATGCCAATTCTTGCTGGCTAGCCCACATTACTCCAAATTCGTCTGCTGCTTGTTTGTCAGCCAAAATCTCAAGCAACCATGAGAGGTTATCAGAAGCCAAAGCTATTTGCTTCACCACAGGTTCTTTGTTGTTGACCGGTTTATCAGCACACTCTGGTTCTGTAGCCTGCTTGAACAGGGACAAAAGCAAGTTCAAACAGTTTCTGCATGAGTTATACAGTGTTTCATGGCAGACATCAGCTGAACCTGTAGAGCTTGAGGCACTGTTGTTCTCCTTAAGGAGCTTCAGCACAACGGATTTCATTTCACGCCTGCCTCTCTCCTCATTGCTTGCGAGAACAAGTTCAATTATGTGGGAAAGTGTGTCCTTAGGGGGTTTAGAAATGTCGGAGGAGACTCGTTTCAATACTGGAGTGACCCCAATACCCTCACTCTGGAGTCGCAAGACTGAGGAGACTACTTTTTCTTCTTCTTCATCCCCAACCCATGGGACTGCTTCCAAGTATTCTAAACATGACTGCATGCACGAGTTGAAGGCAAGAAGTTCTGCAATCTGAAAAAAGGTGCCACTCAGATTCAGGTTAAGGTTAAGATCAATTTATGAACTATAGAAGTATAACAGGGCCCAAGAAGAAAAAGAAAATACAGGTAGGCTGACAAGAAATAGAAAGCCTATTCAATGACTATATCAAGGGATTCTACTTATCTGCATTCAAACCGGATTTCAAGTCATCATAACCATTCAATTAAATCTGATGGTCAGGATCAATCTACATCAGCATAAGAGAAGAGAACTTAAAATACACTGCATATTGATACTGGCCATTGGCTAAAATGACTTGAAATTGAGCATAATGCACACTCCTAAACATTGAGGAGTTCAACCCCTATCAATGAGATTAATGAAAAAAGGGAAAGTAGTAAAGATGTTCCAAACCTTAAAATCTAATAAGTGTATCTCCATATTCTTTCCTACTTTTTTTCAGTCTATTTGTGAGTCATAAGGATATTTTCATAAAGAGAATAGCTACTAGCATGCCAAATTGAACCAAAATAATAATAATAATAAATAATAACACAGAAAAGTGCATCACTATAAATAAATGAATCAGATAATGTCTTCTACAATCGTTAAACAATAAGCTACACTATTGTAGCTTATATCAACTACAAGTCAGTCGCATGCATACTATGCAATGAACAACCTAACCAACACAAGAATTTGTAACAAATGTACGTCCAAAACAGGAGGGATTTGGCCATTCCATTCAAAGGCTAGAGGCTCTAAAAGTGTAATGTCTGAACTACTCTAATACTCATAAAAGCATGAAAAGTATAACAAATGCAAAATATATCATAATACTGAAACAGCAGTTGAAGAAATACTAAATTAATTGATTCATAGTTTTGGCATTAAAGCATAACCAACAACAAAAACAGCATAATTGCAATCCGCAGAGATATGAGATAACTCATACATTACACAGTTATGCTCATTACCTTCAGAATACGGAGTACACGAGAGACACTCTGTTTCATCAGCCGTTGCCTCATGTCTTTGCAATACATCAATCCAACGGTTTCAACATATATTTCAACATCATCACATTCTTCGATTTCAAGACAGGATGAACCAGACTGTTGTTCAGAAAGCTTTTCGGCAAAAAAGTTGCTATGCTCCACTAGAACATTCTTGTGAACGCTCAACTTAACACAAAATCCTTGCTTTCCAAGTAGAACCACCTTCATATCACTAGTTCCAGGTTCACCAAACTCAATTGCAACTTTCCTTGGCAAATTTTCAACTTTGGGCCTCGGGACTCTCTCGGGAACCAGAGATGCACTCACCGTGGGTGCATCAGGCGCCTCAGGACCAAAAGCTCGTTGACCATCATTAATACTCCCTGATCTCGATGGGGTAAAGGCTAGCTTTTTTTCACTAAGTGGTGTTTGTTTCCTCTGAGCTGTTGTCTTGGGTGGTGGTGGTGGGGGTGATGAGGGCTTGGGTTTGTGTAGGGAATTTTGAGCTTTGAGGGTCTTTTGAAACACAACAGGAGAAGGGCAACACCAGAAACCTTCTGGTGTCACTGCAATTGGGACATTTCTAATCTTGGTTTGGCCTTGTTCTACCCTTGTAAGTCTAATTTCAGCCATATTTCACAAGAATTTACAGAAATTGCAGTTAGCGCATTGCTGTGGATCCCAATACAAAGCTTTGGAACCAAAACTCTTTACCGCTTCAAAAGAGTCTGATAACAATATAAACTCACAAGCATGAAAGGCGCAAAGGTGTGATTTTGAGGTTGATCCTAAGAACCCTAAACTGAGAATTCACTTACTTCACAACAAGACTTTCAATTTAGTGAAAATTGAAGGAATGTGATACTCAAAGCACCAACCCAGCTAGTAATTTCACTGAAAATAGGAAAGATGTAATCTTTGTAAGAAGAATTGCAGAAAGGTAAATAACAGTCTTAAAGAGACTGAACTGAACAACTTATGTTTGTATAGGCACAAGGGGCGTTCAAAAGCATAGAAATCACAGATCAACTCCAAGACAAAAACCCACAGAAGCCACAAATTAACAAAAAATAGTTAGGTCCTTTTTGTGCCCAATTGCATGAACCTTAAAACACAAAACAGCAAAAAGACTCACCAAGAACTGGGTAATCCGAGAGGCCTCTGAATATTTATCTCCAATCTCTTATTTTTTAAGCCCACGAGTGCCCCTAAAATGATTGAATGTGAGCTCTCGGTGTCAGGCATCAAGGGAACCAGTGAACAGAGACTTGCAGGGAAGAATCATTAGTGCTAGTGACCCTTTAATTAGTAAAGCAAAGAAAGCTCACATGACCCAAAAAGAAGGTAAAAAATAGAAAGAAAAACAAAAAGAAAAAGAAGAAAAAGTGGAAAACTACAGAGATTGATGGCTCATGGGTTGTGTTTTTCTACTTCACCAGTTTCTGTCTACCTATGCTCCTATGCTACTTGATCGAGAAAAAAAAATGGTCCTATGCTTTGATGATGATTATCTGTATGTTGGCTTCAGAATTTACATGTGTTTTGCCTCTGCAAAATATTCTCTCTCTACTCTATCTGGAAAACACTTTCTCAGTATCAAACAGACTCGAGCAGGCACGCCTTACACTTGTCTCTCCTCAGTTTTCTATTATTTTTTCGGTTCTTTTTCTCTGTTCTCTTTCTTTGGCTGGAACTTTTTCTGTGTTCTTTATTATGTTCCTTGTGCTGGCGTTGTTGGAACGTTGCTAGATTTTCTAGGCTTTAAAAAAGATAGATACATAAGAAATATAGCAATTTCTAGTCTGTTTTGTTAAATGATTGAATGTGTGTTGACAATCTGACAGTAGTTCAGACGATTTTGTAAAAGATTCTTAGGTAACTTTAATAAAAGTTATTGTTTTTTATTTTGGATATGTTTAAATCAAGAATTTATATGTTTATTTAATCGATACCATTATACCTCAAGTCTTGTGTTGATTAATTCATATAATTAAGAGCATTTATCCTTTATGTTCAGACAAAATCTTGTGTTGAACATATTAAAGTTTTTAACAAGTCATAATCCAAACACTAGTCTTATGTCTTGTCAGGAGCATCGCTATCCTCTCGAGTGGGTCTTGCTATGTCGCGAAATTGAGTTTAGGGACTAGAGGTGAAAGAAAGACATTTTTGCGAAATTGGATGGCTGAGTGTTATAGGTAGCGGTGGTGGATAAAGTTTGGGGGGGAATGAAAATGATGGATGCGTCCAATCTACCAATTATATTTTCTCAAGCATCACAAGGTCTGTTGATCTTAAAGATAACAAAACAACAACAAAATTCTTAGATTTGAAAAGTATTTTAATTAAAACTTATAGCTCAACATTTATTGAAAATGATATGCAAATATATTACACATTTTTCCACACACAAAAAAAAAAAGATAAAGAAAAAAGGAAGAAAGAATAAAATCAATAAAAAGAGATTGTGTATCACAATGGGGTTTTGAGTTGATGGAGATTGAACTGCCCCACATGACCTTTGCATATATTAATCAAAAATGAATTTGTGAAACCTCGGAAACCCAAGTTTGGCAAATATTAATTCCAGAAAGAGAATTCCAACACAAATACACAAGGTTTATTGATACATGGCAATAATTCACACAATTGTATAAGAGCTTGAGCGTATAATATACACATTTCTTCTCTTATCAGATGTCTGAACGTAATCCGTATAGATACGATTGTAAATATGAAAAAAAGTATGAATTGATAATTAAAACTACATGAGTCCGCATAATAATAATGTCCGGAAGTATATATATATATATATATATTTTACACAAACTTATAATATATAATATAGGTTGCTTACAAAATCAGATTCTGAAGTCAAATTCAATAGTCCACGTTGCCATCACATAACAGGACCATATATTAATGCATGCATAAGTTGCATACTTACAATTATAACCTCTTACCAAATCTATGGTTTGATTTGCCTTTTGTAAACAAAACCCAACTTTTATTCTTGAACAAAAACCCATTGATATTGTATGCATTTATGGATATTAATGAAGGACCATAATTCAAATGTGCCCCATGGGAATGTACCTTTTTTTCTTTATGTTCCATAAGAATGTACCTAGTTTGCTTTTGTTCTTTGCTTTCTGTTTGTTGCTATTTGCTTTTAACAAAGAGAGGGGATATAGATCAAGTGGCAAAATTTCACATAAGAAAGAATTGGCAAGGAATATCTACATAGTATTGAAAATCTTTTGACTTAATTTTGACCCTTTTATTTCTTTTAGGTTTTGTGCTTGATGAAAAGGAAAAGGCTATGAGAGTGTGTCAACTGTTGTGACTTGTAACATGCAATAATGGAGATCAGAAATGATGGCAGCTAGAATGGAAAGAAAGAGAGCACGTTTTCATCATACAATTGTACCAAAAAGAAATTCCATGGAAGATGGCTTTGCTGTAAGCTGGGCCCACCATGGAATTGCTTCTCATGTGGTAGGTTTGATCAGTCTTACTGTAAATTGACTAAATTGATCAAGCTAGCAAGTAAGCTGTGTTTAGGAGAAGGAGGTGAGAGTCTCACCTAATAATACCTAATAAGTTAATATGCTGATGATGATTATGATGATGATGATAACAGAATTACAATTATATCTTAGAAACTGGACCAGAAAATTATTTCATAATGAATAGTTAAAACCATTTTGACAATCAATAAATTAACAAATGATCACATGAATCATAACTGCAGGAGTAAAATTAGATGAATAACATTTAAAATATTGAGAGGAGGAAATATGAACTTATTGAAGGCGTTGACTGTTATTAGTTCAATGATCCTAGCTATGTCTGAACACCAGCAAGTAATTATCTTCCTTTGAAGATCTGAAAGAACACAAAAACTGAAGAAGAAAAAGAAAAAATGGCTACACCCACCAAGCTGAACACTTTGTGTTCTCTACTCATGGCATCACTGTTTGCTTACTCTGCATCTGTGCAGTTAAATGACCCTGGTACTGTAATCTTGCTGCCCTTTTCTTATTGCACTGTTTATAAAAATCCAAGCAAACTTTATTTCTCAATTTCTTTCTTTCTTTCTTTCTTTTTTTAGATTGGTACTTCTGGTTCTCTCTCTATGGTGGTGCTTGTGTTGTTAATCTGGTGAATTGGGCTATTTCATCCAAAGCAATTAAGCATGTTGCTGAGGGGGCACTATGGCTTGGGATATTTTTGTTTATCAGGGTCATAGCTGAAAGCACCTTGGTGGATGGCGTGTCTGGGTTCTGGTCCCTGGATTTAAGTGAGAGAGTTATTAGGGAGAAAATAGGAAGTGGGTTGGTTATAATCTCCATGATTTTGCAGTTGACAGCATCTTCATTAGAAGCTCCCCCACATAAACAGCAGAGCAAATTTCCAAGATTTGTTGAATATGGTGAGCCAACTTTACCTGCATCATTTTTCTCTTTATTATTAGGAATTTCCATCAAATTGTTCATTCTACTTAAAGTGTTGTGCTTTGCTAACGAGATTCTAACTTAGTGAAAAAGGGCATTGACTTACAAATAAGTGGTCTCAAGTTTGAATCTCATGACACCTTGATAGTGTGTGTCTAAAAAACGTCATCTTCTTGTAGTTTAGACTATCACTTATATTAAAAAAGAAATAAAAAGAGTTGTCTTTGACTTTGAGTTTAAAATGTGACTATTAATTGTTTTTAATTATAAGATAATGACCGGTGAAAATTGTAATTTAACAGGAATGGCAATCTTGGTTGGGTTCAGTTATGGGCTTCCCTTTGTCTTCTTTGTGGTCAAAAAAGGAGAACTAAAGTTCTGAATCTGATACAACAGAATAACGCATGAAGCCTGAAACAAAATGGAATCTTTGATTGTGATCTTGTCCGGCATTGTACAAAAGAACAAGTCTGCCATGATTTTATCTGTTTGTTGTATTCGAAGGCACTGTTTTAAGAGAGGTTGCTAATCCTTGTATCAAATCAAAGCCTAAAAGCACAATTTGGCACATTATCTGTGTTTTCTTCATTGGAAATTGGATTAGCCATGCGTACAAGTTTTTTGGTGCTTACAAGAGAAAAGTCGCTGCTGTAATTATATATATTTTCTAATCATTCTAAAGGAATTACTTTCAAAATTTAAAATTTTATCAGCTCATATTCTTATATCAGCACATTGGGAGCAAGCATAATGGACGATGCTGGGATCCTTGAACAACGAAAAACCATACTTCCAAAAAATAAGAAGACATATAAGATTGGCTATTTAAGCATTCCATCACACTACACGGCCTAGGAACTACTACCAGCAAAAAAACCATCTACAGTTTGCTAATCCCGAGCGGCTACAGGATCAACAAATTTAAAACTAAAAGAAAAAATTTGAAACTTGTCATCCTCGATTCTTCGAAAAACACTAAAAAGGCATAGGTACAATCTACCTGAGGAACAAAACATACAGTCTTGCAGTGGATTCAGAGCTGAACAAACCCTTGTGCCACTTCATGACTTGGCTTTCCAGCAAGATCCAAGATCCTCATTATGCAATCAAACAGTTGGATCTTACCGAGAACTCACCATTGACCAATGCAGAGATTATTTTCACTTGACAATCTGCCTTCCCATTATTGAAGTGCGAGCAAGAGTACAGTGTTCATTCAAGGTTTAATAAAGCCGGCCCCGGCATGTGGAAGCTTCACAATGGCATGGATATCCTTCTCCAGGAAGCAGTTTATACCGATAGTCATATGTTAGTTCTTCCCCCAAAGCTATCTGCTCATATATGGTAGAATGAGATATCAAGAATAGCATTGTTCACTGTAAGCACACCATACTTAGTTGCAGAGTGCCATCGTCAATTGTAGATCAAGTGCCACAAATATATCAAAAAACAGGGAAGGATGAACTTCCAATATGTCTTGGCCGATGAGTGGATCACTAGTAAGGATAACTAAGCAACAAACCATGTAAAAACTTTCTAATCATTTCAACAGGGTAAATTATCTTAGGAACTTAATTTTCAACCCCACATCTCATGTCTCATGCACAAAGAAGATCAAGCAAGGAGAAGAAAAGAGAAAGTGCTTACATCTCGATTTGCATAGAGACCAATATGTGCACGCTGACTATCCATGCTTTCCACAAGAACTTGGTGATTCACAAGATTAGGCGAGCAGCTACAAAAGAATAACATATTTCAGGAGTAGATCACAAGATACTCAAACAAGCCTAATAAATAAAAACAGCACAGAAATCAGAATCAAGTCAACAAAGTTTCATCCACCACTTGGCCAGAAAGAAAGTTTTCCACTGTTCTGTCAAGGGAATATAATGTTTCCAGAACAAGCACATTGGGGCAACTAAACAGAAGGTACAGTCTCAAAGTAAGAGCATATGAGACACAAGGTGGGCCTCGTTCTTTCACCCCAGAACTTTGCAATCCAAGTTTAAAAGAAAGAAATGGCAATCACTGAATGTAGAAGAAACTGAAGCCCAGACCCTACTCTATCCCATAACCCAGCCAAACTACCCAACCTTACCCTGAGAGTTTACGCTGTTCCTTCACATCCAAATCACCCCACAAAAAACAATGCTAACACACAGAATCTTCACAGAACCTGTGTCACCCAATAAGCAGAAACTCACAACAAACAAAGAAATACAGGAACACCTGAGGACGCAAGTGGCTAAATTCTTCCGTCAGAACTCAGGTCTAGAATGTGACAGGGGTATTCTTGATCACAGAGAGGAGGGAGGAAAGCTCCCCGACCTCATGGGTCTCTCAAGTTCCTATAAAGATTGAAGTTCAACCCTTAACAGGCTCAACTCAAACCCAAGTGGAAATTTGAGCTTGGGTTGAGTCTATTGGAACCTGAACTCAGGACCCAAATTGAGCTTGGGCCGAGTCTAGTTGAGCTTGGCCTCCCGAATTAAGGAACAGAAAGTTGTTTTGCTAACGCTTTCTTCCATGGGATTTCTTTTACTAAAGTAGTATGAACAACTTAAAGAATTGGTAGTAATTGGGATAGAACTCAGCCTGCTATTCGATTCATTGTATTACAAAATTGCATAAATTGCAAAGTAACTTAAAAGACCTCCTTCACGGGAAAGGATTTAAAATAAATAAATCACTAAGTCTTACATTACCTATGATTGATGAATCTTGAAACATTTCCGTAGTTAGTGGAGTCAATTACATAATTGACTTGTCCTTCTACCAATCTGCTCATATCATTAATATGAGCATCAACTTCATATAAATAGCCGCAACCGTCTTTTCCATACCTGATAATTCGTAAGGGGCAATTTAAAATATAGCATGAAAACTCAAATAAAGTCAGAACAACCTGCATCGATCATAGCAAAACTGAAACCTGTTGCGCCTATCATTTGCCTCAAGCTCATCCAGAACTTCACCAATGTACTCACAAACAAACGTGCCACGCAGGATTGCTTCTCCTGCCCTGACTGCCCACCCCTGCAATTTTGTAGTAAAGTCAATACAACTCTTGAAAACAATCAAATATTAAAATTTGCCTTTTATCTATCATCTCTATCTGTAGGGAAAAAAGAACTACCTTTTTCTCTGTTTTGAAGACTTCCAATTTCACTCTTACTCCATTCTGCAAAACCCTATTAGGACAGGTTCTATTACAGCTGCACATCTGATTGCATTCATAAACGAGGTACCCTTCCTGCAGAGTTTCATGAGAAATAAAGCAACAAGTCAACCTTATGGTCCTTACCAACGAGAAACAGGAGAAAGAAAATTATGTGCAATTCAAGCATATTAACGGAGCCCTTCTTGCTTCCTAGATAAAGACTTGCATCTCTTTGTGGGACAGCTCAATGCCACCATCTCCCCGACTCCCAAGAACATGTACCAGGTTCTATGTATACATGAATATAGACTGAGAGGGATAAGATATATATATATATATATATATCAGTCCCCTTCTATTGAGGGATCCCTCAAATAATTTTATTTGAGGGACGCCCTTTAGGATACCTTACAATTTTTTTTCCAATGATCCAAACCATCTATTTTTTAGGTCTTCATTCATAGATCATCCTTACAAAAAATTAAACAAATCGGAAACCGTTTCGATATCCAATTGTGTCTTACAAAATCAATGAACCCGGTGCTTCAAGAAAGTACTAAAATTTTAATAACTCAATTGAATGGTCAAATTATATCGGATTCAAGTGATTTTTTGTAGAGATGATCTTTCAATGAGTATCTACAAAATAGACAGTTTGGATTAGTGAAATATAATCCGGAGTGGACCCTACAAGGGGTGTCCCTCAAATAAGCTTAATTGAGGGATCCCACAATAGAAGCTCTCTGTATATATATATATATATATAGAGAGAGAGAGAGAGAGAGAGAGAGAGAATAAAATGATCTATACAGTCAGATCAAAGTAATGCATTTCTATATGCCTGTCTGTGACAGGATCAACAACAGGACATATATTGCTTGACAGAGTAGAAATAACAGTATCAATCCAGAAAACAAACCATTAACCATCTAAAATATGAAATAAAAGTTCAAGACTTCCAACAGTGAAGAGCATACCACCGTCATTTGTGATCAAAGACAACTTCAAGAGAAAATACCAAAATAAGAGAGATGGGATTGGTGATTAATGTTAGATTTTGATTAGCATTACCTCCAAGATAATTCGACCTTTCCCATCATATGGGAACCTGCCACGCATGGGTTTCCCAAAGATGTCTTTTGCATCATCATAGTCATTATCAAAAAGGTACACATGATCACACGTTTCTGGACAGCATGTTGAATGTGGGCATACACACCCCAATTGCACACTCTGCAATGAAAAGGAAGAAGAAAAAAAAACAATATTAAAAGTAAACTAAAAAACGGAGGAAGAATATGCAAAATCAATAATGTGTTGAATCCATTCATTTAAACCCTTTTAGGGTCATGATTAATGTATCATGATCATGTCTGTGTGTGTTAGTGGGTGTGTGCATGCATGTGTGTGTGTGTGTGTGTGTGTGTGTGTGTGTGAGAGAGAGAGAGAGAGAGAAATATGGAGATACAACAGCTAAAGGAATAGAATAAAATAAAATAAAATTCCAATATCTATGAGGTAGGAAACCACAATTTGCACCTTCTTTACAATTTATGGTAGTCAGGCGAGAGTGATGCATATTAAACATGTGCTATACATGCAATACTGATATCAAGGTCAGTGATAAGATGATATTAGACCAAACATTGAAATAGCCAAAAGAAAGATACCTCTGTATCAAGTCCAAGGGATTGATGAACCAATGGCTTCATGATATAGGTAAAGCTCTCCCAAGGCATGGAATGCCCAGCATTTTGGTCATTAGAACTATGTGCAAGAGCATTATAAGAATCCAAGTGACCTTCATCTGCTACACAGACCACTGGAACCAATTCCTGTCCAAAGCTTACATCATTACACAAGACAAGAGCCTTCTGGAAGGAAATTTGGCTCAAGTGATGGGCATCAATAATATAGTGGCTTTCATCCATCTCCCACTTATCGTCAAGAGGATCTGATGAAGGTGGAAATTTGTGCCCAACAATACCAATTGGAAGAGGCATCAAGGGAGACAGCAAGCATTCCTTGAAAGCATTGCATCCTTTAGGGCAAATAAAGCCATCTTGATGCCAACCTACCTGAATATTATGCTCACTGCAAAGCTTGGCTGCCTTCAGATACAAATGTTCTGGCAATACTCCATATTTTCCCTCCAGAAAGGCCTTAAGACTGATCTTGCAGCAAGCAGAGCGAGCAACAGATAAAATGTCTAGGTTGCTGGG